TGTCATTTGCCCACCCAGTTTTTTTCATGGATCTTGTGTATGATGAGTTGGAATGAATATATCCACAGTTGCACTAAAATTTTGGTCTGATTTTTTAGTATCTTTTGGCATTCTGAGACAAGCTAAGCACACTTTTAACATAAATGAATTTTAACTAAACATAAAACAAAATTTAAAATTGATACTATAAAGGTCCAAAAGAATGTAATGTGCTAAAGTATTTTCAATTCATTCCATATTGTCCAAGTGTAATTTGCCCTTATTAGTGTCTCTAAGAGGAGACAGTTGGATGAATAAAGACCCAGGCTCATGCAAATCAAAATTCAAAAGCAAACTATAATTAATGTCACTGTAACTAAGGAATAGCTATCTGTAAAACATTTCAGGAAACACCATGAAGTATTAATAAATAAAAAAAAGTTTACACAGGACAGCCTTTATAATACACCTTTTAAAGGATCTTCCAATAGTTCAAGGCAGAATCAAGTTAAGATTTTTGAATAAATTGTTTATTTGGTTTTTCATTTCCATTCTCCCTCCTGTGAGTGATTAGTATATTATATGTAATAAATTGATGTGGTATGGAAAGTGTTAGTATTATGTACACATGTGTACACTTTCTTTGCTATAGGATATGGAGAGTGAAGAAATTCAGATGAAGCAGAGGACACGGAATAAGATTACCTTGAATGATGAGCCTAGAACCTACTGATAAAGACTTTTTCTTGTTTCTCTCTATTTTGTTTGAATCAAGTTATTCTTTTATCATAGTGGAAATTAAGATATGCCTTAATTCCATTGTGGGTGGGAATCTAGACTGGCAAGACTCTATTTGCCTGAATCTTGGGAAATACAGTAGTTGATTAGAAAAAGCTCTCTGATTTAGAGAGTCTCTCATGCATAACGACAAGTCAAAATTTTCCTTAGTAAAAATAGAGATGATATGGATATGAAGGGCTGTGATTTAGAACATGGCCAGATTCTGGAAAATGCAATAAGCAGGAAAAACTAAGAACAGATTGCTGGACAATTGGGGCAGAAGAGGCACATTTAAAGCAAGTTATGGCCAACTTCCACAATTAGTTTTTATCTAAGTCTCTTACCTACTTTAAAAAATACTTGCTTTACACTTGATCTGGAATATAAATTCAGCCTACGGTTGCCATATACAGCAAATACAAATACAGATGTCAGAATATTGCACAGGACATACTTAGACTAAAAAAATCCATTTTTATGTGAAATTCAAATTAACTGGATGTCCAGTAGTTTATCTAACAATCCTAATACAATCAGATCTTCTTTGAAAGAAATTTGTGTATCTATCATCAAATATGCCTACTGTGATGTTCCTGTCTTTAAACAAAATGCTTATTTTTTATGCCTCACTTAGATAAGGAGTTTGACTTAATTCAGGTAAAAGAAGATAAAATTGTTCCAAGTGACCTCTTCTAGAACTGCTTAGATTGTGGAGAGGAGTGGAGGATCATGAAGGAGGAGACTGCAATGAGGGTCTCTCTCCCATCCTCTAGACCAGCAATTGAACCGAACAAATGGGGCCTGAGGTGCTTGCTGATAGGCTTAATTAGTCAGATCCCAGAATAATTTGTTACCTCTTGTTGTTCATGCAATTCACAGACAGATTGAAGAGGAGAAACTCTAGCCCTAAGCAAAGTCGTAACCTTTATTTAGGTTAAGACCTTTACACAGGCTCCTGGTGATTTTTTGACAAAGGTTGTCTTCAGCGGCCATCTGCTTTTGTTCTCAGGGATGACCTGTGATTGCATCAGTTCACTTGCCACCTACTGGACCAATTCATATAAGGCTTGTCCTACATCTGCATATTCATAAAACAAGAGATAATTCTCGTCACATTAATGTAAAAGACTGCACTAGAAAATTAATAAATGTGATGTCAAGGGAGGACCCAATATATGCTCATTTTCTGATCTTCTGCAAGAGTTATAAAAATATTTTTATAATTTTTTAAAATAGTTTTTGTTAAAAAATAGTTTATCATTTCTTTGTTAAAGTGAGGTAGAATCTCAAACACTCTTGAAACCCTGAAATTTCCGGAGGCTGGGTCAGAAGCTTTCACTTCTGCCAGCAGACACTTGTTTTGCTGCCATAGGAGCAGTATACGGGATTGATGAGAATAAAACCCGGATTGTGTCAGAGGCGCCGTCCGCCAGGAGGACAGACCCTGGGCTGCACTCTAAGAAGCAGAGGCAGTTTGGATCTTTATTGTGTAGAATAACTTATAAATCCATTGTAAGTAAGTTTATAAGAAAGCATATTCATTTCTAACTTAAAATCATGTCTCTTCTGACAATAATCTAGAGCCAGCTAATTATTTTTTTGTCTTCAAATAATTCCATTGCCTTGTTTTTCTTGTATGCGAAGATTGATTACTATACAGAATGCTGAATAACCTTTTCTAATTCTGTAAATAACTCTTTAATAACATTTTAAAATTTGACTGCAAAATTGTTGCATGTTCCTTTGTAAACGGTTTAGAAAGATAGAGAAAAATTTTTTTAAAGTCATTTCAAGTCTTGCTACAAAAAGAGGCATAACCAGTATATCCTGCTTCAGAAAATTGTTGTGGAAAATATTGCCACATATCTTTTACTTTTCAATTGATAGTTCAATAATCTATCTGCTCCTTTAGAAGACAAGTCATCCAGCAGGATAGTCAGTCCAGAATGGGGTCATCTCTCCTTTTACGTTGAATGGAAGAGTAAGAACAAGGATGTTTATCCAGAGGCCCTGGGACTGAATCTGGCCTCAGAAACCTTGGTTTGGTTCCCATTAGTTGGTCAGTAATGGTTTATGTTTGAATTATCTTCCAAATTTAATCAGGAAAATTTCATATAAGGATCCAGATGCTCATCTTCTTTTGAATAATCAGGATATATGGTAAATCCGGATGAGAGTGTAACGGGAAGAATTCGTAGAGTTGGTGTTCTTCACACGCTGTACATGAAGCTCTGTTTGCTGCTTCCTCGGTTTACTGATTACTGAGGCCCTCAAGCACGTCTAATAGGCTGTAAAACACTACAAAATAATGAAAGCTTGCCCAAAGACTGAGAAATTACCCCCAAAATTGAGCCAAAAACTTAGAAAAAAGTAACAGAGAAAATGTTCTTTACCTGGTAGAAAATTAGCAAGTCCACTTTACAGTAACCTCATTAACACATACTGGTATAGGGGAAAGGAGAAGTGGAGGGGCCCTTAAATGGGCTTCATAATAGCATCCGAATGTCTTTTAAATAATGATTTAAAACTTGGTAGACAGCAATTTTTTCATCTTAGATGAAGATTCAAATGAGTGAGTGTGAATATATTTATTATCTATTTATTTGTCCTGGCACAAAGAGCTCATATTCTTCCTCATTTCTTCTATTCACTCTGAAATATAAGTAGATTAATGACATAATGGTGTTATCTATCTTTTTTTATGTTCACTAGAGAAAAAGTGCACTCTACTGAGACAGATTAAGTCAGTCTTACTTTATATTGTACGTTATTCTGTTTAGGCAGCAGAACAGTCTTATTGAAATTTTGCCCAAGGATGACCTCTTTCCAAGCTAATTCCTATTCAGTTGTACTCTGTAAGTAAACCAAAGATGAAGTGTAATACGAACAATTTATCTTTTTTAAGGATGCAGCATATCAATGTGAAGGAAAAATAAAACTGACAGGAAGTTCATAATGTTACAAGAACCATTTAATCTATGATATCTATTTATTTAATAGATTTATGCCTGACATCCATTTCCCTGACAAGCATCATAAGGATTTTTTTTTAAAGATTTCTCAGATAGATTTAAATCTTGTTACTGAAGAGCTGAAAAATAAAGATTCTTGTGTAAATCATATACAAAATTATTATTATTGGCGGTAATAGCATCTGGGGGTTTTGCTGAAAAGTTGCTAATTTATTAAGTATAAATGCAATCTAGCAAAGTGATTGGAAATTTTTGTATAAATTATAGAGTGAATCTTTAGCATTTTCTAAAATATCTATGATCAACTCTAAATAATGAGATCTACTTTAAATTATTAATATTTAATTAAATGTTTTAAAACCTTTCAAAATCATTTTAAAATTATATATATCCATAGTGGTTGAATCTGTCAGTTATTATATAAATATAATATAGTATACAAATCAGCATCAGAACTCAGTTGCAATGTCCATGTCTCTGATGAGTCAAACTTTTGCCAACAGTCTCCAAACTTCTTTGATTTTTATCCATTATCAATAAAACATTTTGCTCATATATTTCTAGAACTGTATTATTTATAAATTATGTACATAATTTAGTCTACTAATAAAACTGTAAAAACATCCACACAAAATATAAATAAAAATGTAATCAGTAAAGGAAAAAATAATTTTTAAAATGTTATAATGTTTATTGGTAAACTAAAATATTGGCCTATTTAAAAGTGATTAGAATTGACTCGGGAGCGCAATGCAATTAAACATGCTGCCTTCCCTTTTTTATTCGTGAATTTTGTCATAATAATTTGAAGGTCAGCTTCTAATTTCAATTTGCTAAAATACTTGATTTTAAAGACTGGCCAAGATGAAAAAGATACTATGCCACAGTACCTAGTTCAAAATGGAAAAAGGACAACATTGGTTGTGTTTACTAAATCATCATGTTTGCGTCTCTACCACACCCACTGCGCACCCCAATCCTGTAGAGAAAGAGGGGCTGCTGCTGCGGCTGGCTTGCTCCTCTTCCCTGTTCCCTTTCTTTTGCTGCAGGTCCTGTGGTGGCCTGGTGTTCCTGGCATCTATGGTTGCCCGGTTTAAAAAGGGAGCTCTTCCTACAGGGAGGGGCTTTATCTACCTATTTTTCTAATTCTCTGGAAACACTGCCCCCGGTAACACCTGACAGTAGCTCTCGCAAAGCCACACTCTCTCCTCCGTCTGTCACTTGTAATTCCATCCTTACTGTATTATGCATCTTCTTCTTCCCTTTCAGCCAAGAGCCAAAGAGGAAACCCTCTGGAGAAGACCCCCTTGAAAACGGTCTGCCATCTTTCTTCCATTTCATTGGATCCCACTGCCTTGAGGCAGTAGAATAAAGTGGCTAAGAACTGGGGTCTGAAGCCTGACTACTGTATTCACCTGGTGGCTCAACCATCTGTAAGCTCTATAACTTTGGGCTAACTATGGCATTCTTCTGTGCTTCAGTTTCCTGAGCAATGTGAGGAAATCTATGGGCACAGTAATGGAAGGAATTGCTATTTTTGCGAGGTGATGAGGAAAAGTTAAAAGGTGAAATTTAAGTAAAGATCTGAAAAAAGCAAGAGAGGGAATGTGCCGTCTGGATATCTCTGGGAGAATGGTCAAGGTGAAGGGAAGAGCATGTGTCAAATTCCTAAAGGAAGAGTTTGTTTGGCCTGGCAAGAAATAGAAATGGAGGTGACCGCGGCTGGACTGGAAAAATGTGGTCAAGAATAGATGACTTCAAAAAGGAGGTGTGGAGGCAGATGATGACAGACCTGGTAGGCTGTCATCAAGACTGTTTTTGACTCTGAAAGAGGGGAGAAGTCAATGAAGGACTTTGAATAGAAGTGTGATAAAATCTGACTAAAATTCTCTCTTTTCCTGGGGTTTAATTCTTCCTTTCCTCTACCACATTGCATTCTACTTCAGTGGGTTTACCCATCCTTGTTCCTCATGCAAGATTCTTGACGGCCAGGGCCATTCATTATTCATCTTGGAATCTACAGATTCTAGTACACTGCCTGCACTAAAATAGATGCTCAATAATTATGTGCTGAAGGAATGAATTGCAACAAGGAGAAAAATACAGCCCTGAATTAGTCAGCTGAGCGCAGTAGAAAGAGCTGTGTTCCGAAATTCAGTAGATTTGGAGTTTTTTTTCTCAGAAACACTGCCTTTGTGACCTTGGGACAATTCTGTAATTATTGACTCATTCTTCAAACCTTTTTGATTTAATTCTACTAACAAGGTATTGCATCTCTTAAATTACGTGGGTCTTGGTTTCCTTGTTTTTACAATGGAAGCTGCACTCACCTGTAAATTCCTGTTCTCTTTCAAGACATCCAGTTCTAAATTAAGGGTGTTGTGAGCCTCAAGGAATTTTTGTCTTAACTCACTCAAATGGACCATTTCCCAGGTATGTTTTAATGAAACTGAAGACTAGAAACTATCTCCCAACTATTAAAGCCTGAGGCCTATTGAGAAGTCATTAGTTTTATACAACTTTAAAACGCTTCCTCCCATTCCGTTTGACATTGCTAATGATCTTGAATCTACTTTTCCCCTTGATATTCTTATATTGTCTAATTCATAAAACTTAACAAAGCATATACTACACATAAACCTACATCACTCTTCAATATAAAGGAGATAGGGACACATTAAAATACATGCATTAATGCAGCTGCATAAAAGCAACTGTATTAGTTACCATCAGACATGCCGTAATAAGAATTCAGCCACTAATTATTGAAATATGCATTTAATAATTCATGTTTCATTAATAATGTACCATAAAAATACAGCATATAAAGGAATCTGTGATATATTTATTGTGGCATTCTGGAAAATTATCTTGAGGCTACAGACTAATTTAAAATATGATCATTCTTATCGCACATTCTAGGCCATTTCATGAAGCAGCCATATATTCTATTCATGACCGAGCATTAACTTGGCTCCTCTGAAATTTTTCTGCACTATGTTTAGTGCCTTGAGGGAGTAAGGTGGGATTTAAATGAAGATCATTTCTCCATAAGCATTGCACATTACTGTAGCATGTTGAAATAATACTAAATTTAGCATTGCTGTATTTTATGTGGAGGAAAAGAATAAGCTTGCAGCATATTTTTCTATTATTGCCCATCCCAGGGTGGAAAGTCTCTCTATATTTTTAATTATAGCCATGGAAGACTAAACATGAGATGTCGTTTATTTCACTTGAAGGATTTTCTACTATATACGATCACTTGGGACAACAGGGTTTGGTGGTGTCCCTGAGGACTGTGTGGTTCTGATTGTGATGACATCTCAAAGTAACGTCCAAAATGTTGTTTATGTCATCAGATACTGAAAATAGTTTGCTATGGCCCAAGGCATGGCAGCTTTAGGGAATTTTCAAAGTTGTCATCCATGTTTGTTAATTAATCGAGGTAATAGTGTATCTTTGAAAATATTCCTTATTGTTCAGGTGACTATATTGCTTAAATATATTTGTATTGCATAACAAAAGTAGTCCTTAATTTTGATTATATAACTTAACAATAACTATTTTGCTCAGCTTTTTGCCTCCACTGTTGTAATTGAGTATGTAGGACCTTCCTGGCAACAACTGATCTTTGCTTTTTCTCCTCACTCTTGGCTATAGTCAGATGCTTCCAAGGACCATGCCCTCATCTAGCTGCCCTTGGAAACCTTGAAGAGCATCCAGTCAGAGCCAATGTCTGTCTTTATGCTCCTTCCAAATAATTAATTTCTCGTATTTTTCTGCTTTCTTTGCCTTACCTCTCCAACACTTGGTGGTAATTTCTTTTGGGGTGGTAGGGTTTCTACCTCAATTGTGGGAGATACATTGCTTTTATTTTTACTTCTGTTCTTTACTTTAATGGTAAGATCATAAGATCCCATAAGGCAAAATGCGGTCCCTCAACCTGCAGCATCAGCATCACCTGGGAACGTTTTAGAAATGCAGAATCTCAGGCCCCATCTCAGACCTATCGAATGGGAAAGTCTGGACTGGGACCCAAAAACCTTAATGAGGTTTCCACAGAATTCTAATCACACTGGAGTTTAAGAATCATAGCCATAAGGCTTTGGTATTATCTAGGATTTTGAATTTCTTCTTCCAACTATAGTGGGTTTGGCCTTGATTTCTCCCTTTGCATATGTCCTAGTTTGAGTTTGGTTTCCTGCTTCTGAGTCGTCTTCTCACCCAGAACACCACAGTGGGTGGCAAGCCTGGATTCTTTGCTACCAAATATTGTCCATAATGAACTCCCTTCACTATTCTATACTACTGGTCAAGATGACTTTTAAAGTAGGTGCTTTCATAGGACCTTGAATTAATTCTCATGGGACAGCTTCTCAATCTTTCCCAGGTAGGGCCCAGAGAGACATCTCTTATTTACGAACTGTCTTTTTAAATTCTTAACCCAAATAGACAAAGAAAAATAGTACAAAGTGTAACGTATCTCCCAATCGGATTAACTCTATTGAATATAATTAGGAAAGTCATTGTGATTCCTCTTCTTTTCCAAAGAAAATAGTCACCTGGCTCTACCTAAGTCAGTCCTGCCAAGTTCACCACAACTGGAGGACTTGTGCTATTAATTAGTATACCAGTATAATTTTATTTACGTAGATGGGGAAATTTACTTTCGTCTCATTTTAAGCTCACGTTGCCTATTTCAAACCATTATTGAAACATGTTAGTGACAGAATCATAGCTCTCTTTTGTGTCTACATGAGTAGAGATGGATTTCATAATTTGTAATAAATACTAGTTGATAAAGATGGTTATGCTGAAAATAGGGCTTTGCACTATAGGATAGGCCAATGCTATAAAATTATAAGCCATGCCACTTTGAGCATGCCTCATTTTGTATTCATCATATGTTAATTTTTAAATCTCTTCCACAAAAATGTCCCCCCAAAGCAACTGTTCAGCGTCCGAGTTGACAGCTTCTTTCTCCATCACCTGCTTATCATCAATATTTATTTGTATTCTTAGTGCTTTTCTTTTACATTTAAAAATGCATGTGTATTACTATAATGAATTCATCTAATAAACATAAAGATAGTCAAATATTTTCACTTTGTTTTAAAATGTTACGTGAAGTCAATGCAATTATTTGTCTGTAGATGTTTCTTCAAATATAGTTAGTTTTCTCAAATCCATTTTTAAAAAAGGTTCTAATAACATATAAATATCCTCCAAATTTTAATACAATATTTAATTCCAATTAAGTAGATATTTGTTTAGCATAAGTCTATTTTCAATATAAGTATTACCAAATGATTATGCTTTGCTTAGCAAATTAAAACAAAATTTATGAATTAGGAAAATCACGGGAGGGATTTTTAAGAGAGCATCCCGCAAAAGATACTTACAGAAATTTACTAGGAGGCCTCTCTGATTCCATTAGCTCTTCATTTATGTGCAACATCTGCTTCAGCTAAACCGTGTTTGCGGTAAATGACCGTTTGTGAATGAGCAGTTCTTCAGGGTTGTTTTTTTTTTGAAGGACAGCTATTCATGTGAATGTGATATATGTGGGAGACGTCGGAATTGCAAGAGAGAAAAAAAAATATTTTAAAATGAAAAAAATAGCCTAACAGATGTCTCCATCTCACACGTTTTAGACACATACCGTTTCCAAATAACCAGAGGTCTTTCCTTTTGGGAAATGCTCCTTAAGTTACCCCATAGAGAGGATGGATCGTTGCTTTGAGTCCTGAATTTTACGTTATCTGTAGTCACGTGCTCTTTTATGAGGAAAGCTGACTTTTGCACACAAACTAATACAGATGGGCATTGTTGGAAACAAAATTATCATTGTTATGTCTTATTCAATAAGTGGTACAGTTTTAAATCAGCCTTAGAAATTCTCAGATAGATATCAGGACGAACAGCTAAATGATAATAAAATGTATGCAGCTTCTGACCTAATCAATCTCAAACGCCATTTTTCAAAGAAATAAAAAGATTTGTGGAGTTGGCATATTTTACTAAAATACATGAGAGACAAAATCATTGACTTTGCCTTTTATTCTTTGAGAAACTGTGGTTTCCAGTAAGTTTAACTATTAAGCCTAATTTTATATGCAGTGGGCTGAATAATAGCCTTTAGAATTAATTTTAACAGTTTTAAAGCCACACACACCCTAAAATATCCTTTCAACACAATATTCTTACCCAGGAAAATATCACCCTTCTATGTCAAGTCAATTTCATTCAATTCAATTCATAATTTTTTAGGGACCTATACATTAAAAGTCCTTGTTCTTTGTTGTCTGTGGGATATACATAGAATAAAAAACATAATATTGCTAGCCTCAATAAGCTTGCAAATCATGGAAAAAGTAAGAGTGATGTTGACACAAATAATAGCAATTTAAAGTGGACTGTAATATGTATCATGTAAGAAAAAAGTGTGCATAGATTGTTCTGCAGATTAGGGGAAGAAAGCATAATTCTCTTCCCAAACATCTTTTACTTTTGTAGAAAAACATAACATTTAGAATATTGGAACAGAGTCACTCTAATGACAAATATTAAATGGCATAAGTATCCTTTATGATAGTGTTAAAAGGTTATTTCTTGGAGGCCATCTCTAGATATCTTTTTTTTTGTTTGGTTTTTGGTTATTTTTGGTGAGGAAGATTAGCCCTGAGCTAACACCTGTGCCAGTCTTCCTCTGTTTTGTATGTGGGAGGCCACCACAGCATGGCCTGGTGAGTGGTGTGCAGGTCTGCCCCAGGATCCAAACCCATGAACCCTGGGCCACTGAAGCCTGAAGTTAACCACTATGCCACCAGGCCAGCCCCATCTCTAGGTATTCTGATACAGTTAGTCTGGGCTGGGGCCCAGGGATCCATCATTTTTAACAAGCCTCTCCGGTGATTCAGATCAAGCAGCCAAAGGTAACCTTTTGAGATCATAGGCGTTGCCTTGAATTTTACATCATGAGGCTCTCATTTTCCCTTATTTTATGAAAGTTAACCCAATAATCTTCAACTAGATGCTATTTCCTGTCATATTTTTCTTTCTTTTGATTAACTTAGCCGGAATCTGTTTATGTTGTTTGTGCTTTAGGCTGTATATACAATTTCTGAATCAATGTCTCTGGTTGCTCCTTAAAGCTATTTTTTAAAAACCTAAAAAAAATTTTTAAGAACTTTGTTAAAATACATATGAATTCTCATGAATTCTAAAAAGCTCATATACGTAATTTGATGATGGAATTAAGTGCAAAAGGCTTTTTATGCCGCTATTGACGTGCTTTTCTCAATGTATATTTGTTCTCTACATTTTAGTTACATAAAACTTGATTTGGTTTTGAGAAGAAAAGAGGAATTATTTTTCTATGTATTTTATTGTCTCATATTTTAATTTTGCATATCCACATTTAGAAAAAACAGACGGGCATCTCGTCATTTTCACTTGGAAATGGTACTAAAGCTCCCTTTAAAAATGGGAAATAATTAATGCATGTGTTTATGAGAAAATTCAGGGAACATTGCAAAATAATAATTTTCATTGTTTGGTTTCTGCAGCTGTGTCTACAGTTTGCGTCTTCAAGACCAGGACACAGTGTAGCACTGTCTTCAGTCCAGCAGTGTTTTGTGAATTACTGACGTTCTGCGCTCTCCGTCTGGTTCTCACGATTAGTTTGTAGCCTCATTCAAATAGAATCAAGGCTCAAAATGCTGTGCTCTGAATTAAAGGCAGAATGGTAAACAATACACAGTCCCTTCCCTCAGCACTTTTACAGACAGAGAGAAATCAATTCTCTTTATCATAAAGTATGATAAAAAAAATCACCTGACCCACCAAGCTAAGTTATTTGTTTTTGTTAAATATGTATTGTAACACTCTCAATGCCTACTGTTATTTCTCTTCATAGCACAGATTCTGGTGATTTTATACCCACATTATATGTGTGTGTGAGTGTGTGTGTTCCCTTTCTCTCTGTCTTTCGAATAGACTGTGAGTCTCAGGCTATTGTTACTCAGAGTAGTGACCTCGTCTCTCACTTAGTGATCATGGTATGCCTAGTGCCTAGAATGTAGATGGGAGTCCATAAATATCTGTGAAGTCAATTAACAAGGTGCGTTTTCTATAAACTTGTTTTGTGAAAGGCTGAGTTCCCACAGGTGTATTTTGTCAAAGAAAATTGAACCTTTATACTTAATTACTCTTGCCTCTTGTAAAATAACACTATATATATATATAGCAGTATATATTATATACTATATATAGTATATACTTTTATATATGTATATGTCTTATATGCATTTAATAGTTGTGAAAAATAACAGTAAATTCTGATCCATATTTATTACATAATATATTTTAAAAATGACACTTGATATATGACAGATATTTCGTAATTAAAATGCCTACAGATATTTTTCAACCTGCAATTCTTCTCAGTCACTCATTAGTTTAATTTTTGTTCATGTAAATTAGAGATGAATTAGAAAAGTGGCCTTTGATTATAAAGGAACTCCAATAGAAGTAAGATCTGTAATACCTGATGTTAATATTGGTAATTAACATGTATTGCATTTTTATTATATGAATAGCTACTGTACTGTAGCCACAGATATATAATTTGATAGTAATTTTACATACTAGGAGACTCGGAGGCTTTAGGTAATGTTGAGAGAGACAAAGTACGTGGTGCCAAGGTGAGAGTCCACCTGTGCTTTGAGCCCCCACTGTCGGTACAGTTGTGTATACTTTGTATGGCCTCCGTAAGTGTGGAGACTGGCCAGTGGCCACTGTGTGTAGGAAGCTGTGGTCTGGAAGTCTTGTCATATAATCTTTATACCTCCAGCCACATGGGGCCAAACCCTAGTGGAGGGCAGTTGCCTGTTGTCTTGCAAGATAGTGATCTCTCTGGCATCTTCAAACAAAGGGAAGGCGTGGCTTTTTCTACAGTTCTAGCATGTTCCAGGGGGATTAGGAAAGCGTTGCTCTTATAATTAAGTCCTGGTCCTGGTCCTGCTCCTCAGTGTTCACAGTTCGCCTGCTGGAGGAGATGAGAGTCTCTTCATAAGCTTACAAAGGGGTCTCCTAACTCTTACTCTGTAACAAGGTGATTATTCACCCTAGTGTTCTTTTTGTCTTTTTCGATGCATCAGTGGCACTCAGCAAGAGCCACCTGATTCCATTGTTTTGTGATTTCCTCTTCCGTTAAACCTCCCCAGAGCCTGTGATACTGCCTTTGCCTGTGCACTGACTCCCTCCGGTATCCCGACCCGGTCCCCTGCAGGTGTAACGCTTTAATCCTTGCACTGCTACACCATGCTCCATGGTGGCCCATCCAGAGGACACCTACAACCACCGACAGAGTCCTCTTTGCCAGCTGACTCACAGACAATCTGGCTCCAAAATGCCATTTTACAGTCTATGTGCTAAACCACTCCTGGATTGCACTCTTTTAGGTGGGATTCCCAGGAAACTTTTTAAGAGATGAGCTTTTTCACATGGGAAGTGTGCAGTGAAATACCCTGGAGGCAGTATCTGTGAGGGAGTAGAGGAAAGAGACATGGGCAGAGACCATCTGAGCAGCAATGTGATTGGAACAGAGATCTCAGGCAAGCCCACGGCAAGTGCTTGAGCTGGGGTGCCCCTTCAGATGTCTCAAACTGGGGCCAAAGGGCTTGGTCTTTGTGCCTCTGTATGAACAGTAATTGGACGTGGGCTGTCTGGGGGTTGGAGGGAGTGGCACGGCGCTGAGCAAGGCAGCTCCCTTGAGATAAGGACAAAGCTTAGGGAAGGACCCAGCTGTGGATTGTCAGCTGCCAACAGTCAGGCGGGAGTGGTCAGGAGAGCTTCACGTGGGAAGACGGCTCTGAGCGTCCGCCGCAGCAGCCCCAACAGCAGCCCACGGTACTGACTAGTAGAGAAAAGGAACATTAACTAAGCACCCCAGCCCTTGGCAAGCAGAATTTGAGAA